GGAAAGAGAGGGTCTCCCTAGGGCATGTATGTACTGTGCCACTCCTTATCATCTCAAGACATCAAAGGAGTGGCACTCTTGGATCCAAAACCATCAATCAAGCACTTTCAATGCATGATGGCCAAAGATCCAAGCGGTACACCTTCAATAAAGGCACAAAAACAAAGACACAAGTCCATTGCTTTATCATGAGAGATCAAAGGCAATGAAGACCAAGAAATGTGACACGTCTCATCACTATGAGTATGAAACGTCTCACATTTCTCGTGTTTGGATTAACGTCCGACCCAAACACAATGCAATGCAAACAACATGCTTATCTTTCACATGTTTTACTTGGTCCATTTCTTGTTTACACATTTAGCTTACCAATTAGTCCTTTAACCGGTTAAGTCCAATGTGAAATTCTTCTAATGGGTAAGATGGCCTCAGCCACAAGCACCTTGAGCATGAAAGAAGCCTCATGCTTTTGGTTAGTAGAAACCCTCAAGAGAAGGTTAAAACCATTAGGCATGAGAGCCTCAATTCCATGCACAAGCTAACAATGGGCTAAAGACCTCTTTCAAAGTGAATGAAAGAGTGAAACCATGGAGTGCGATGGCATATATTTCAGCACTGAAATGACATGCTAAATGACTTAAAATCATGCAAACAAACCATGCACAACATGTTAAGAGTCAAAAACATTGAAACTAGTGAAGGACACAACACTAGAGGCATGCAATACAATGCTCAAATGATCACGGATTTGCCACCCTCAAGTGGGCTTAAAACATGATTTTCCACTTCGCAAAGTGGGCTTAAAACTTATATTCGATGAATTGTTCCAATTCAAGCAATAAAGCCTTTATCCACTGGCGTTCATGCAGTTTATCAATTAAGCAAATAGTCTCATGGCAAGCATGTTATCATGGCAGTCACTTACACGCATGCAAGGATGCTAAAGCATAAATACTTACAGTGTACTCCGAGCCAAAACAGAAAACTAGTTAGAAATCATGCATGATCCTAACTATGTTAAAATGCCTAATGCAACGTATGCAAAGTGCAACTAAATAGGCTCGACTACCTAAGATGGAATATGAATGCGATTTGGATGATGCGCCGAGCCCGATGCATGCAAGACAAATGAATGATGCAAACATGCAAAGCATAAGCTATGCTAATCAAAACGTGCCCTAAAACTAACCATCGAAAGCAGTAAGTAAAAGGGAGAATGAAATGGGGTTGGAAGACATGCACACACACACGCACCCTTATTACAACATTTGCCCTCTCGACGGAGGGTCCGAATGAACTGAGCTAATCTAAGCTAAGCTACTCTAACTAATCTAATTAAGCTAAATTAGACTAATTATTACAAACCAATAAAGAAATAGCTAAACTAAGCTGCTTAATTATTACAACACTTAATTAATTTACAAATTAATAAAATACACAAATTGAGATGCTAACTAACAAGTGAAGCACCAAACTATGCTGCCTCAGCTCTGTTCCAAGAAGTTGAACATGCATGCTCGCATTCGGTTTCTCGCCTCGAAAAGCCTTCCGGTTTGCTCTTTAAAGGTTCTGTTTGTAGGGTGTCTTCAAGAACTTGCTGCTAAAACTTACCAAACCAATGCTGGGGAGTGCACCAGTGGCCTGTCGGCCATAAGGAGTTGCTGTCGGCCATATGCCGGCCAAGGATGGGCCTGTGCCGGCCAACAATGAAAGGGTGCCGGCCATCAGTGTGGCACTGTCGGCCACTGGTGTGCTGTGACACCAAACTGCAACAGAGCACAAAATAGAGGAAAAGGAGGGTCTCCCTAGGGCATGTATGTACTGTGCCACTCCTTATCATCTCAAAACATCAAAGGAGTGGCACTCTTGGATCCAAAACCATCAATCAAGCACTTTCAATGCATGATGGCCAAAGATCCAAGTGGTACACCTTCAATAAATGCACAAAAACAAAGACACAAGTCCATTGCTTTATCATGAGAGATCAAAGGCAATGAAGACCAAGAAATGTGACACGTCTCATCACTATGAGTATGAACCGTCTCACATTTCTCGTGTTTGGATTAACGTCCGACCCAAACACAATGCAATGCAAACAACATGCTTATCTTTCACATGTTTTACTTGGTCCATTTCTTGTTTACACATTTTAGCTTACCAATTAGTCCTTTAACCGGTTAAGTCCAATGTAAAAGTCTTCTAATGGGAAAGATGGCCTCAGCCACAAGCACCTTGAGCATGAAAGAAGCCTCATGCTTTTGGTTAGTAGAAACTAAAGACCTCTTTCAAAGTGAATGAAAGAGTGAAACCATGGAGTGCGATGGCATATATTTCAGCACTGAAATGACATGCTAAATGACTTAAAATCATGCAAACAAACCATGCACAACATGTTAAGAGTCAAAAACATTGAAACTAGTGAAGGACACAACACTAGAGGCATGCAATACAATGCTCAAATGATCAAACCAACCATAGACAGAGCTTAAACATGCCAAAATAGTTGCCTAATCATGCTAAAACTTAGGCACAAAAGGCAAGAAAAACATGCTCTCATGTTGGCTCACAAACAAGACACAAAGCACAACTCTTAAAAGCAATGAAAGAGTGGAATATGTGAGAGTGTGACAGTGGTTTATGCACTGAAATTACATATAAAATGATGTCATGGCATGCAAACATCTCAAGTAAAGCATGTTAGAGGCCTCAAGACTCAATGCTAGTGAAGGCACTTGCACTATAGCTATGCAATACAAAGCTCAAAAGGGAGAAATAGTCCAAAATAGTCCTAAAATAGCTTAAATGAAGTTCTGAAACATGCTTGAAGTAGGCTAAAAAGAGCTAGACTGAGAGGCTAAAACAATAGCAGATGTTAGGCAATTTAGCACAATTGCACTACAAGCATACAAAGCAAAGCTCGAGTGATCAAACCAGCTCAAAATAGAGTTAAAGCATGCTAAATCAGAGCCAAAAACATGCTGGAGTTGAGCTAACACAAGATAGAATGATAGGCTAAATCATCAAGTGTGCTAGGCTAGTAAGCATGATTGCACTACAAGTGTAAGAAGCAAGCAACAAGTGACTTAACCAACCCAAAACAAAGTTATGATAGGTCAAAATAAAGCCAAGAACATGCTTGAACTAAGCCACAAAGAGGTAGAAACACATGCTCACATGTTAGGCCATCAACACATGCAAACAAGACACAAGGAGGGGAGGCCAACCCCTCTTATTTTGGACCTCAAAACATGGTTTTTGTCACTGAAAAATCTCTGAGTTTCAGTGGTAAGAAGGCCAAAAAAAGTTGTTTTAGAAAGCTTTGAAAGATGGCACAAAAGCTTAACAAGCAAAGAGACAAGAGGAGTGGACCACCCTCAAACTCAAAAGGGGCTTGAACCACCATTTTTAACACTAAAAAACAGAGTTTTCTTCAGTTCAAAACCAAGCCAAAAACAGTTTGTAAAGGTGGTAAAAACAAGTATGAAAGCAAGCTTAAAAGGTGAGTCCTATACCTCTTGAAGGGAAGACAACACTTAAGCAACAAAACCAAGCCAAATGACCTTCAAGAGCTCCAAGGAAGCTCCAAGAGAGCTTCAAGAAACCTCAGTCCAAAGTTGAACCACTTTCATCAAGGATGAATAAGCTAAAGTTTGATGTATGCAAGCCTTCAAGCACAAATGCTCAAGAGAGAGAGGAATCTAGAGAGAGGAGTGTAGAGATAGTGGCTCCCAAACCTTTTGCTAAAATGTTCTAACCTTTAATATGTGAGATTTGGCTTCAATATATAGCAATATAAGAGCCTTAGGTCGAAAATATCTCAAGAGAGACAGCTAGAACAGCTAGAGCAAAAATATCAGCCAAAAACTGCTTTCTAGCATCAATGCACGGCACATGTTCATTGTTGGTCAGCACTTGATCATCGTTGCTGGCATGGGACACTCTTGGACGGCAGGGGGCCAGCATTGGCCATTCATGGCCGGCACATGGCCAAAAAATCCCATTTATGATCAGAAACTTCCCCCTCTGATTGGACAGAAAAATCTGCTTTTTGGGCCCAACTTCAAATGGGCATAACTCCTTCATTTGAACTCATTTGCAAGTCATTTGTGAGTCTAAAATGTAGCCCTAGAAGTCTTCTTTCCAATGGTGGTATCCTAACATCAAAATTCCAACTGTGAAAAAAGTTATTCCTCTTTGAGTGAAGACTGCTCAGTTTCGATCCTACCCGGATTCATGCCGAACTTCTTCTCCAACTTGTTTTCTTCTCTCCTCTCCTCTCCTCTTTTCTTCAACCTCAAACCCCTAAAAAAGGTGTTTTTGAAAGATTTTTCAAAAGTGTTCATCTCTCTGTCATTCATTTCCACTTTGTCCTTGCTCGGTTTACCGAAAAGCGCAACATTTAACGAAATGTGAGCCTCGGAACATCGTAGGATCTTTTTCAAAAAAATGTTTTGACAGAGAGGGTTTTAAGATCTAAAATCTTTTAGTCAAAATAGTTTTGGTCCAAAAGGAGTATGAAGTTGGGATTTGACTCTCTTATTGCTGAAGAAATCGAACCCTTACGCTGCACAACTTTCACCACCAAGTAAATGATCAGTAGTGCCCAAGTCTTAAGGGCGGCCAAAAATGGGGTGTCTACCAGAGGGAGAAACATTTTGGATGGAGTGTTAATAGCTAATGGAATAGTAGATGGGTGGAAGAAAGCTAAGAAGAAAGGGTTGTTGTTTAAGCTTGATTTTGAGAAAGCTTATGATTCCATTAACTGGGAATTTCTTGTCTCAATGCTTTCAAATTTCGGGTTGGGATCATAGTGGATTTCATGGATGAAGGAATGTGTGTCACCAGCCAGAGTCTCAGTTTTAGTGAATAGATCACCAACTAAAGAGTTCTCTCATTAGAATGGGCTTAGACAAGGGGATCCTTTACCACCATTATTATTTGACTTGGCTGCTAAAGGGCTGAGTGTTTTACTAAGGAGAGCAAGAGAAATGAAAATCATTATGGGGATGGAAATTGGTGCCAATAGAATAGTAGTCTCTCATTTGCAATTTGTTGATGATTCCCTTTTGTTTTGTGAGGCTAATAGGCAGGAGACGCTCAATATCAAAAGGATTCATAGGTGGTTTGAAATCCTATTAGGTCTCAAGATTAATTATCATAAAAGTGTGGTTTGTGGGGTGGGTATTTCTGAAGCATCGAGCAAAGAGTTTACAACATTATTGAACTGCACAACTCAGGGGTTCGCATTGAAATATCTTGGGTTGTCTTTGGGTGTGAGTCCAAGTAGAAAGAACATATGGAAACCAGTTGTGGATAAAATAAAGGCCAAGCTCTCTGGATGGAAAAGTAGATTTTTGTCATTTGCTAGTAGGTTGACGTTGATCAAGGCAGTATTATCTAATCTGCCAGTGTATTACCTATCATTGTTCAAGATGCTTGAAGGAATTGCTAAGGAAATAGATAGCATTCAGGCTGCATTCTTATAGGAAGGCACAAATTTAAAGAGGAAAGTGCATATGGTGAGATGGAATGAGGTAACTTTGAGCAAACTACAGGGAGGATTGGGTATTTAGAGAATTAGGGATGTTGATGTATGTCTCTTGCTTAAGTGGTGGTGGAGGTTTGCAAATAAAGGGAAATCTTTATGGAAAAAGGTAATATGCAGCAAGCACAATCTGGAAGGGGGAGACTGGTTTCCTATTTTGAATTAAGATAATAGTAGCTCAAAAATCTAGTGGAATATCTTGGCTGTGGCAGAGTGTAGAGCCAATTTGGTACATTTTTATGTTAATCATTTCAAGGTTGCACTGGGCAATGGACTTAGAGTGAAGTTTTGGCATGATAAATGGTGTGGTGATGTATGTCTTAAAGAGGAATTCCCTAGATTATTCAGGTTACCTATTGAGCAAAGGGGATCTATACGGTTCTTTGTTGAAAAGAAAGAAAATTCAAAAAATTGGGTGCTTAGTTTCAGAAGGCCGCTACTTGTTTGGGAGGATGAGGAACTTATCAGGCTCCGCGATGTGCTGAAATTGGCTCCATCTCTTAATCTGGATGGTGTGGACAAACCAGTGTGGTCAGCTGCCAAATCGGGTCAATCTTTTGTATTAACATCGTACAATTACGCAGCAATAGAGGCTGTGGAGTTGGGGTTTCTTAGTAGGTCAATACGGGTGAACTATCTTCCATCCAAAGTGTAATTTTTTGGGTGGCTTGCTGTAGACGCGCCCGCAAAGACATGTGTGTTTCTACAGAGGATTGGGATATTGGATGAAAGTGTATCTACTGATTGTGTGTTTTGCCAAAATGAGCCTGAGACAATAGAACATGTTCTTATTTTGTGCCCCATGGTTTAGAGGGTGTGAACAAGTCTGTTACAATGGTGGGGTATGCTTTGGGTTGTGCCAAACTCAGACAAATGTCTGCTGCAATGGTGGGCTGGAATTTGGCTTAACAGAGTAGAGGGGAGAATCTAGAAGGCCATTCCACTTGTAGCTTTTTGGTCAATTTGGAAGTGTAGAAATGATTGTGTATTCAATGATGCTCAACCAAAAATAGGAGAGTTGTAGGAATTAATCATCCGAAGATCGGCCTCTACTAACCGTGATATCCTTTTTTGAAAACATTATGCGTTCTTATTCCGGTTATTAGCCTAGATTTACTATGCGATGCGCGCAGCAAACAAGTATAGACTAGATTGCCTAATTTGGGAATAAGCATTGCATATCCGTTTTGTCTTGAAAAACACTTCAAAATTTGCTACTCGCAAGTAGGCCAAAATACGGATTTCAACGAGTTTTTCCAACTCAGACAATCCAACCTTCACCCACAGACATTCAAACAGTTTATCACGTAAGCATCTAGCCACATGGTAAGCATGCTATCATGACAGCATTCACATGCATCCAGTATGCTAAAGCATGAAAATACTTACATCGTACTCCGTGCCAAAACAATAAACTTAGTTACCCAACATGCATGGTCCTAGTTCATGTCAAATTGACTAATGCAATACATACAGGATGCAATTTGAGTAGGCTCGGTTAACCTAAACATGGCATGTGAAATGCAACCAATTGATGCACGTATTCAATTTGGAATTGAAGTACAAATGCAATTAGCATGATGTACCGAGCCCGGTGCATGCAAGACAAATGTATGGATGCACGCATGCGTAGCATAAGGTATGCTAAATTAAACATGTCCTATTACTAACCATCAAAGCAGGTAAGTAAAAGGGAAGAAAGAAGTGGGGATTGGAAGACATGCACACACACGCACCCACACTTATTACAGATTCGCCCTCGCTCGGAGGGACCAAATAAATATTACAGATAATTAACCTACAAGTTAATTAATTATTACAAATCACCTAATTAATTATAAAATTAACTAAGCATAAGAGAAACGATAACAGGGGCCTCGGGAAGAGGGTTCGATGCGCGCGTGCTCGAATCTTGCCCAGAAGTGCACTGCCATGCATAGGCTGCCTCTGTTTTCCCTGCTTAGCCTCCTCGAAGACTACCAAAGTCTCAGAATTGCTTCCCTGGACATTGGGAGACACCACCGGCTGAGTAGAATGTCCACCGACAGTGGCATGTGATCACCGGCTGTTGGTGAAGCTATCGGCCCAGGAAAGATTGCCGGTCAGCACTTATCACTGCCGGTCGGCAGAAAGTTCCTGCAGAATCTGCAATT